CACCATGTTGGGTTATGTGGGCGGTCGGTTAGTGTGAGGTGCACACAGGTGTGCTGTTGGGTTAGTGCGGGTCGTTAGTGTGAGGTGCACACAGGTGTGCTGTTGGGTTAGTGCGGGTCGTTGGAAAAAGTGAGTGAAACAGACAGGTGTGCCAAGGCTGTCGGGTTAGCGTGGGTCGTTAGTAAAGGTAAGTGAAGGTTAGATATGCACAGGTGAGCCAAGTTCGTTAGCACGAGTGTGTGTGTGGATGGAAAAGGACAGGTAAGTGGATCTTGTTAGCGCAGGTGATTCGATCTTGTCAGAATGTCAACAATATGAGAGCAGGTTGGCAGCTGAGGTACACTCACCTTAACAGTGTAGTTGATTTGTTCATTCACTTCATATCTAGTATAATTCATGAAAGATTCGAGTTTTAAAAAACAACTCGGTGCGCTGCATGACAGTAGTGCATAATAGCATGTTGTGCTCGTGACTCTGTCGGGTTAATGGGTTACGGCAGACATGAGCGGTCGTCAGCTCACATCACATCTCAACAAGCCATCCGTCAACACAGAATGTCCTCCGTCACAACGCGAAACTCGTAGAACGGGGGAAAGCGGCCGTGCATGTCGAGTAACAAAAGAGCAACGGCGTTTTTTACTTCTGACGCAAAACCGTTGGCGAATTCGCTTCGCGCGCTCTCGCCGAACCCCCCGACCTGCTTGCCGCAACCCCGGGGCGGCGAGCGAAATAACAATAGAGGTCACCACTCGCTCGGCACCCGACAGCGACCTGCGTCGACGTGAGCGCTAATAGCGAGTATGTACAGGCTACGGCCGAGTCCTGTATTTAAAACTCAAGTATTTTGCACGACCGGGGGCATTTGTTTTTCACGGGATAATACGGGAAATAAATTGCTCGGCGGTTTTTTCACTCTGATTGGGTGTTGTTTGCGCGACGATCGTCATGGTGATCATTTTTACGTCTGCTTCAGCAAAACCGTGTCGCGGGCGCCATGCAGCTGTATTCCGTCGACCGGAAGGTGAGCCAGCCAATAGAGGGCCACGCCGCCGCATTCTCGCAGTTCAAGATGGAGGGCAACGCGCAGGAATCGACGCTCTTTTGTTTCAGTATGCGCGGCGCTCAGGGCGGAAAGGTGAGTTTGTGTGTGTAGCGACCGTGGGCTTGGAGCTTACGATAGTGTTAAAATATTCTCATCTCCTCTCCTGTCTTGATGAGTGTAGTCACAGGGCCGTAATGAGTGTTAGCCACGGGACCGTATGAGTTAGCCACAGGGCCGTCTGATGTACCGCGCGCCGTCTCCATGTTAGCCCGTCTGCACCACCTACTAACCACCTTCTAACCATGCTCTAACCACCTCTAACCACCTCTAAATTCACCTCTAACCACCTACTAACCACATCTAATCACCTCGGAATCACCTCTAACACCTCTGACCACCTCTAACCATTTCTGACCATCGTTCGAAGCGAGGCATGAGGCACGTCAGGAGGGGGGGGAGGAGAGGCGGAGGGCGAGGGGAGGAGAGCGGGAGGGAAGGGGAGTAAAGGGGAAGGGAGGAGAAGGGGAGGGAGGGGATGGAGGAGGAAGCTTTGTGGGGTTAGAGGGGGAGGGGAGAGGAGGGTGAGGGGAGGAAAGGGGAGGGGGGGAGGGAGGGGAGGGAGGGGAGGGTCGAGGGAGGGGAGGGGAGGGGAGGGGAGGGGAGCGCGAAAGAGGAAGGAAGGCAGGAAAGGGGAGGGAAGGGAGGCGAAGGGCGAGGGAGGCGAGGGGAGGGGAGTGGCGGGGCGGGAGGGGAGGAAGGGGAGGGAGAGGGAGCGGGATTGGAGAAGGGAGGAGAAGGCAGGGGGAGGGAAGGGGAGGGAAGGAGAGGGAGGGGAGGCGGAGCAGGGTGAGTGGGAGGGGAGGGGAGGGCGGAAAGAGGGGGAAGCGGGGAAAGGGAAGGCGGGAGTGAGGGGAGGGGAGGGGAGGGCGGAGGTGGGAGGGAGGAGTGATTTGAAAGGGGAAGGCGCGAAAGGTCAAGGAGCCGAAAGCGAGGAGGGGGCAGGGGACGGGTGGCAGAGGGTCAAAGGTGGGTGGAACAGGAGCGGCAAGCTGAGGAGCCAATGAGCAGAAAACGAGGAGGCAGGAGGTGGAGACGTGAAGGGCAGGAAAGGGGGGAGGAGGGAGGGCGAATTAGGAGGGGAGGAGGAAGGGAAAGCGAGGGGGATGGAGGTGAGGGCAGGCTAGGGTATGCGACGCGAGCACATCGCACTCATCGTACATTCGTTGGTTAGACCAAGCTCGCCATCGCTCGTCCCTCACAGCGCCATCTAAATTCTGCGGCCGTGTAGCGCGCGCGCCAGATAGGGACGCGCAGAGCGGCGTGGCTGCTCACGGCCTCTGCCGCAGTCGGCGGTCGAGTCTGAAATACGATGGCTAACACACACATGTCATGTTTCGGCAACATATAGTATACTTTGATTAGTTTTGCAAGTTTCTCGGGAATATCTTAGAGCAAGCAATTTTATCAAAGATCACAGGCACAACAGGGTTGCAGAATTTGCAAAATAAGCACAGGCTACAACAGTCGATGCTGGCAGAGCAGGACTGGCAGAGCAGGAGAGGAGGGATAAGTTAATGCTGAGAAATCGCAGAAGCCAGGAGGAAAGAAGAGGAACGGACACAGAGAGATAAGAGCAAGGCGTAAGACAGGAGACATAGACACAGAGAATAAGAGCAGGCGTAAGCACAGGCTGATGAACGGAGCACAGAGATAAGAGCCAAGCGGTAAAGACAGGAGAACGGAACACAGAGATAGAGCAAGGGTTAGAGACAGCTGAGAACGGACACAAGAAGATAATGCAGCAAGCGGCTAGACAGAGAGATCGGACACAGAGATAAGAGCCAAGGGCTAAGACCGAGGGAGAATGGACACAGCCAGATAAGGGCAACGGTAAGCAACAGCGAGATGGACACAGAGATAAGAGCAGGGGAAGGACAGCCGAGAAACGGACACAGAGATAAGAGGCAAGCGGTAAGACAGCGAGAACGGAACCGAAGATAAGAGCAAGGTCAAGACAGCGATGAAGGGACACAGAGATAAGAGCAAGGGTCAAGATAGCGAGATATGAATCACAGAGATAAGAGCATACGAGCCAGTAAGACAGGAGAAGGGACACAGAGATAAGAGCAAGGGTAAGACAGGAGAATGGAACACAGAGATAGAGCAAGGGTACAGACAGCGAAAGAATGGACAAACAGAGATAAAGAGCAAGGTAAGCGACAGCGAGAATGGACACAGAGATAAGTCAGCAAGGATAAGACAGGGAGAATGGACACAGAGATAAGAGCAAGGGCGATAAGACGAGGAAATGGACACAGAGATAAGAGCAGGGCGACAAGACAGGGACAGAACGGACACAGAGATAGAAGAGCAAGGCACGTAAGACAGTAGAGAACGGACACAGAGATAAGAGCCAAGGGTAGCGACAGGAGGAATGGATCACAGCAAATTAAGCGCAGGGGAATACAGGGNCCTGTCTTACCCTTGCTCTTATCTCTGTGTCCGTTCTCCTGTCTTACCCTTGCTCTTATCTCTGTGTCCGTTCTCCTGTCTTACCCTTGCTCTTATCTCTGTGTCCGTTCTCCTGTCTTACCCTTGCTCTTATCTCTGTGTCCGTTCTCCTGTCTTCCCCTTGCTCTTATCTCTGTGTCCGTTCTCTTCTTTCCTCTGCTCTGCGATTCTCAGCATTACTTATCCCTCCTCTCCTCTCTCGTCCTCTCTCCACATGACTTTGTAGCCTGTGTGTAGTTTGCAATTCTGCACCCCTGTTGTGCCGTGATCTTGATAAATTGCTGCTCTAAATATTCCCAGAAACTTGCAATCTATCAAAGTATATATATGTTGCTTGAAACATGACAGTGTGTGTTAGCCATCGTATTTAGACTCGACCCGCGACTGCGCAGCCGTGAGCCACGCCTCTCTGCGCGTCCCTATCGGCGCCCGTCTACACGGGCGCAGAATTTAGATGGGCGCTGTGGGGAGCGAGCGATGGCGAGCTTGCTAACACGATGACGATGAGGCGATGTGCTCGCGTCGCATCCCTAGCCTCCCTCCCTCCTCCCCCTCCTCTTCCCCTCCCCTCCTCCCCCTCCTCTTCCCCTCCCCTCCTCCCCCTCCTTTCCCCCTCACCTCCTCCTCCTCTCCTCTGCTCATGCTCCTCCTTCCCTCCCTGTCCACCCACCTTGACCCTCTGCCCCCTCCTCCCTCTCTTGCTTTCCCCTTCCCTTT